TGCATCTGGCAAGGACGGCAGGCGTCATCCAGCTGGTGTGCAGGCTGAGGGCCTACGGCAGGTTCGTGTCGTGCCGACCCCAGCGTTGGTTTCTGACACCGCGGGGATCGTTCGACCTTGAACGATCGGCCGTTTCCGAAACGTCCAAAACGTTCCACATCGACCGATTCTGGGCCGCCGCCGGCGTTCAAAATTGAACGCCGCTGGCGGGGTCGCCGCCGGTCGACACGACACGAACCTACCGTACTACCGATCGGTGCTGTCCGAGGTGAACGTATGACCCATCGCGTTTTGTGCACCTGGGCGCGGCGGAGGAGACGAAGGAAGGCCACGGGACGAGATACACGCCAACGCGACTACTGCACTGGTTTCGAGGACGTAAGACTACACCTCCAAGTTGGGTCCTCTCTCTTATGGTAGTGATGACGAGCATGCAGCGGGTGACAGCCGCTCCGAGAGGATCCTAGCCCCCGCTACTCAAGAAGAGGGGGGAGAGCATGGGAAATCGCAAGGGCTGCCCCTCTGAAGTACGACAACAAGCCTGTCATCCACGCAGTCGACGACAACACGAACATCCAGTACGAGAGGGCAGTGAAGGAGTTCCTCGTGGACGTCAAGCGGGGCCAGCTCCCTTTCGACACGATGGCCCAGAGGGACAGGACCTTGGCGGACTACATTGCGGACCTCTGTTACGTGCATGGCGCCAGCTACATGAAGGCCAGCTATTGCTTAAACGTATTCATGCACATCCTCGAGGACCACCAGATCATCTTCCAGTGGACGCCAGGGCCCTCAAGAGCTGGGAGCGCATGGGGTTTGGTGGCGAAGGCGAGCCGATCCCTATGGAGGCAATGGGCGTCATCGTCCAGACCTTCTTCGAGCGAGGGGAGGTCATAGAGGGCGCAGCGGCTCTCATACAGCTAGCTGGACGGCTGGCTGCGCGAGCAGGATTGGTGCCAGCTGCGAAAGGACGACGTCAGCATCGACGAGGACGGGCGCATCGGGCTGGTCCTAGGACGGCGTGAGAGAGGAGAGAAAGTCAAGATGGGTGCGGACCAGGGCGCCGAGCTGAACATGAAGGTGAGCAGGGCAGTCATTCAGGCGCTGATGAAAGGCATCGGCGGAGACGAGCTGGTGCTGCCCGTGAGCCAGGGCAGCTTCAGGCGGGCGTGGGGGCGGCTCCTGTCCGACATCCAGGTCGAGAGCCTCGGGCCCCCCCATGGCATCCGACACGCGGCGGCCAACTTCGTCGCAGCAGGGGGGGCCTCGAGGAGGCACGACGGCGGGGCAGGTGGAAGACTCCAGGAGCTTTGAGCAGATACACCAAGGTCCACACCCTCATCAGAAGACGGTCGATACACCTAGGTCCACACCTTTATCAGGAGGCGGTCGGAGCTACCGGACCCCATGATCAAGCAGGGCAGGAAGTTCTGGAGTGCACCATCGAAGCACATCAAGATCGCCCTCTCGACCTCCCAGACAGCGGAGACCCCGCTTGCGCAAAGGCTGATCGCCATGCTCGGGAAGGTCGTCGGTTTTCGGAGCTGAGGCAGTGGACACCAGTGAGCCGGCGAGTAAGCCCTCAGCAGCTCATCGGATGAGGCTCCGACGCACGAGCAAGCCTGCTGTCACTCCTCTCCTCTCCTATCTCACTTTCATCTGAGCACAGTCGTATATGAAATTCGGGGGCTGAGGGCTAGCCATAAGGGGGTTGAGGTGTTTTTTTCCCAACCATCCTGTGGTGTTGGGTCCTCGTTTTGAAGAGACAGCGCCCCGCGTCCACTCCTCCCGCTGCCCCTCCTCCCTCCTCCCCCTCCTTGCCTCTGCTCTCGGCACACCTCTCACAAGTTTCGTAGCCCCATAGGGAACTCCACCGAAGGCCCCAGTGGGGGTGTCCACATGCGGTTCCCCCACCCAGGGCAGCGTTTCGTAGCCCCAGAGGGAGCTCCACCGAAGGCCCCAGTGGGGGTGTCCACATGCGGTTCCCCCACCCAGGGCAGCGTTTCGTAGCCCCAGAGGGAGCTCCACCGAAGGCCCCAGTGGGGGTGTCCACATGCGGTTCCCCCACCCAGGGCAGCGTTTCGTGCCCCATAGGGAGCTCCACCGAAGGCCCCAGTGGGGGTGTCCACATGCGGTTCCCCCACCCAGGGCAGCGTTTCGTGCCCCATAGGGAGCTCCACCGAAGGCCCCAGTGGGGGTGTCCACATGCGGTTCCCCCACCCAGGGCAGCGTTTCGTGCCCCATAGGGAGCTCCACCGAAGGCCCCAGTGGGGGCGGTTCCCCCACCCAGGGCAGCGTTTCGTGCCCCATAGGGAGCTCCACCGAAGGCCCCAGTTGCGGTTCCCCCACCCAGGGCAGCGTTTCGTGGCCCCATAGGGAGCTCCACCGAAGGCCCCAGTGGGGGTGTCCACATGCGGTTCCCCCACCCAGGGCAGCGTTTCGTAGCCCCATAGGGAGCTCCACCGAAGGCCCCAGTGGGGGTGTCCACATGCGGTTCCCCCACCCAGGGCAGCGTTTCGTAGCCCCATAGGGAGCTCCACCGAAGGCCCCAGTGGGGGTGTCCACATGCGGTTCCCCCACCCAGGGCAGCGTTTCGTAGCCCCAGAGGGAGCTCCACCGAAGGCCCCAGTGGGGGTGTCCACATGCGGTTCCCCCACCCAGGGCAGCGTTTCGTGGCCCCATAGGGAGCTCCACCGAAGGCCCCAGTGGGGGTGTCCACATGCGGTTCCCCCACCCAGGGCAGCGTTTCGTAGCCCCATAGGGAGCTCCACCGAAGGCCCCAGTGGGGGTGTCCACATGCGGTTCCCCCACCCAGGGCAGCGTTTCGTAGCCCCATAGGGAGCTCCACCGAAGGCCCCAGTGGGGGTGTCCACATGCGGTTCCCCCACCCAGGGCAGCGTTTCGTAGCCCCATAGGGAGCTCCACCGAAGGCCCCAGTGGGGGTGTCCGCATGCGGTTCCCCCACCCAGGGCAGCGTTTCGTGGCCCCATAGGGAGCTCCACCGAAGGCCCCAGTGGGGGTGTTCGCATGCGGTTCCCCCACCCAGGGCAGCGTTTCGTAGCCCCATAGGGAGCTCCACCGAAGGCCCCAGTGGGGGTGTCCACATGCGGTTCCCCCACGCAGCGTTTCGTAGCCCCAGAGGGAGCTCCACCGAAGGCCCCAGTGGGGGTGTCCACATGCGGTTCCCCCACCCAGGGCAGCGTTTCGTAGCCCCAGAGGGAGCTCCACCGAAGGCCCCAGTGGGGGTGTCCACATGCGGTTCCCCCACCCAGGGCAGCGTTTCGTAGCCCCATAGGGAGCTCCACCGTAGGCCCCAGTGGGGCTGCCCTCATGCGGTTCCCCCACCCAGGGCAGCGTTTCGTAGCCCCAGAGGGAGCTCCACCGTAGGCCCCAGTGGGGGTGCCCGCATGCGGTTCCCCCACCCAGGGCAGCGTTTCGTGGCCCCACAGGGAGCTCCACCGAAGGCCCCAGTGGGGCTGCCTGCATGCGGTTCCCCCACCCAGGGCAGCGCTTCGTAGCCCCATAGGGAGCTCCACCGAAGGTCCCAGTGGGGGTGTTCGCATGCGTCTCCACTGCCCAGAGGCAGCGCCGCCGAAAACGACATTCACACTTGCGGTATTCACAGTTGCATATGGTTGGGTCCTTCGCCAGGCTAATTTATACCAATTCCTACTTCTCCCTCCCTCCCACCCTTGAAGCAGTCTGTGTGTCTTTTGAGGCCTGCGGCCAGTTTCTTCCATACGACAGTGTGCGGGTTATCACGTTTCAGATTCTGTCGAGAGGAGCCCCCTGGCGCCGGCCTCGTGGTGCACGTGACAAAGGTTGCGTGTGTAGCTCCTCTCGTGCTTGCGAGTGTGGACGTGATGTGAAACGACTGCGGGCTCCATCGCCCCGCCCTTGTGTCAAAAGTTGGTCGACTGGCTTTATCTGTTACCCCTGTCGGGGTGATCCGCCCCACCCCGCTTGTGGCTGGCCCCTCCCCTTAGCAGCATAACATCAATGGCTCTTTCTCCTCGCCACGGGGGGTGCGCAGGTGGTGGTCCCCAACCGTGGTCTCTATCCGTCCCAGGGTCGCGTAGCGCGGAAAGCGTGGCAATGTCTCCACACCACATGGGTTGCGCAAGGGGTGGTCCTTGAGCGTGGTATTTATCCGTCCCAGGGTCGCGGGGCGTGGCAGGCGTGGCACTGTCTCCATACCGCAGGGGGTGCGCAAGGGTTGGTCCCTCACCGCGGTCTCTATCCGTCCCAGGGTCGCGGGGCGTGGCAGGCGTGGCATTTCCTCCACACAGTAGGGGGTGCGCGGGGGGGGTGGTCTCTGAGCGCGGCCGTTATGCACCCCGGTCGTCCAGGGCATAGCAGGCGTGGCACTTTCTCGACACCATAGGGGGTGCGCAGGGGGTGGTCCCTGAGCATGGTCTCTATTCGTCCCAAGGTCGCGGGGCGTGGTAGGCGCGGCAATTCCCGACGCCGTCGGGGGTACGCAGAGCGTGGTTCCTGAGCGCGGTCTTTATCCAGCACAGGACCGCGCGGCATGGCAGGCGTGGCATTTCCTCTGCACCACGGGGGGGTGAGCAGGGGGCAGGTTTCGCGGTTAGCTCACGACCTCATGTGTTGCATTTCATCAGTTCCACTAGCAGGGGCTTGCGTACCATCCAGATCACTTTGGCTCAAGCCAGCTGGGAACGCTAGGGTTTTCACGCAGGCGCGCCAGAGTGCCCAATCGAAGGTTGCAGTTGCGCGTATGTTGCACGGCAGCTATGCTAACACAAGAGCTAACACGAAGTATGTGGGGTTCCTCGGTAGCGTAATTCTGGAACGACGTATCTGGAATAGGCGATACACCGCCGATAGGTCGGCGATGGGCACCCACAGATCCTCGAAGGCGCACGCTGTTGGGCGGGGTGGGCCATGAGGCCCCTATCGGCCGACGATGCAATGGGCAATTGAGGGCGAATGCTTCCGCCCCTGCGCCAGCTCCCCCTGTCGCTACCCCTCAGCACCTGGCAGCGCTGCACCTCCAGCACCTCCACCGGCGTGCTGGCTCGCACCCGGCCGATCAACTCCCTCGTCGAGTCCGCGGGGCTAACGGGAGCGTTCTGCGTGAGCGCCGCCTGGCAAGATCAATCAGTCACCGGATCTGGAGATCGGACCGGATCGAAATTCGCGCCGGACGGGGCTGCACCGACACGGAGTAAAAACTCGGATCGAATCGGCTGCGCCAAGATGCACGACAGCGCCATGCAAGCATCGGGCCGCAACGAACCGTCGGAAGATCGGAATGCGGATCAGATCGGAACGGCCAGAATCGCTGTCGAATCGGACTGCAACCCCCGCGGCGGCGTGGACGGGAGGAAGACGAGGACTAGGACGAGGACGAGGAGCAAAACGAGGAGGAGGAGGAGGAGCAGAAGGAGGAGGAGGAGGAGGAGGAGGAGGAGGAGGAGGAGAAGGACGAGGACGAGGAGGAGGACGAGGACGAGGAGGACCCTGCCTGGTCGTGGATGATCAGGTAAGGGCCGGGCGCGTCTGCCACAGGGGGCAGCAAGAATCGCGTGCACATGTTGCCGAGGCCTGGCTTGCGGTCGAACATCCAGCCTCGGCCGTCCGCGAGCCTCAGGTACAGCACGCCGTCCTTTCCCGCCTGCTCCTTCGGCATGAAGGAAACTCGGGCACAGACCAACATGGATTGGGGATCTGTGGATCTGGCGAGTGGGCGCCAGATCCACGTCCGGGAGGAACTCGTTTCTGGAGCCAGGTCGCGAAGGCCATAATTCAACACATCTGGTGTGCCCAGTCGTACCTATACGACCACACTTCGGCTGATAGGTGGTTCGGGGGGAAACAACCAAGTGATGGCAACCGCAACGGTTGTGATGATGACGATGCTGGTGATGCGCCCTCGAATTGGCGACAATGTGTGATGACTATACTGCGTCCCGATGTGATCTCTTTGTCGACCTCAATTTCGATATCACGATCGGCCCAGCCTTCCCAAGGAGGCGCTGAGAAGCCCCCTTGCCCTGTTTCCGGGGAGATCGGGGAAACCCTCGGGGGGGGGGGGGGGGAGAAGGGCGAGGAGGAGAAGGAGGAGAAGGAGGAGGAGGAAAAGGCCGAGAAGGACGAGGAATTGGACGAGGCAGAGGAGGAAGAGGGGGAGGAGGAGGAGGAGGAGGAGGAGGAGGAGGAGAGGGAGGAGGAGGAGAGGGAGGAGGAGGAGGAGGAGGAGGAGGAAGAGGAGGATGAGGAGGAGGAGGAGGTGGAGATCGCCAGCACGGCAGCGGAGGGCGCCACGCCCGCGCGATCCTCAACCTCCTCCTGATTTTCATTATCGCCATCCTCGCCCTCCTGGCCCCCCTCCACATCCTCGCCCTCCTGCTCCGCGCTCGCCCGACCCTTCCCCGCGCGACCCTCGCTCTCCTAATCCCCCCCCCTCGCGAGCCTGGCCCTCCTGATCCTCGCGCTCATTCCCATCTCGATAATTTTCCCCTTGCCGAGAAACGCGCGCCCTTCCTCTACGCACATGCCCCCGATCAACCGCAGAGCGACCGGCTAGTAACATTTTCAAGGGGCGTCCTCAGCATGTGGCTCAGCGGCAACTTATTTCTTAATGAGGTCGCGCATGGCGAGGCAACGGCCAAGCCAATGAGTCACGTCTACATTTCTCTTGTGTTCCTGGCGGTAGCCAGGCGCGTTGCCGAAGTCTGGGCCGTCGGTGTCCAACAGCGCGATGCAGCGGGCAATTTCTGCATGAGCTGCCCCAGGCTGTGGTCGGTACTCCAGCGCGGTCGCGACGTCGCGCGGGCCGTCTGGGAGGTTGGCGCGGAGCATGCTATTGTCTGCCACGCCCTTAACGCTTTCGCCGCGGATGACGGCGCCATCGTGGAGGTCGCGGATGGCGCGTCGTTCCACAATGTTCCATGCAGGGCAGTCGCCCCTGGTATTGCGAAAGCGTCGAGCCTGTGAGTCTGTCTTGGTCCAACCTCGAAAAAGCATCTCGATCTCGTACCTCCTGGGCACGAGAAATATATTTCGCAAAAAATGTCTGGACTTGTCGTTCCTTCTTAGACATAGTTATTCAAAACTCAATAAGTGCACGGTCGCGCCGAGACGTCGCTTGAAAACGTGTCTCGCGGCACCGTGCAATCGTCTCGCCCTCGGGAGCCATCTCCGGAATTTTGCAGAAGCGAGAAGGTCAAATTCATTGTTCGCTGAGGCGGCGACGATCATTAATTCTGACGCCGCACCACGCGTCGCGAAACGTTCTCTCGCCCCCGCATGTGGACGCGGTCTCGAAGTCGCGGGCGACGTCAATCTCATCGACCGGGGCTGGGGTGCCAACCACGTCGTCAGTGGGGCCGAAAATATGAATTCGAGGCGTTCGGATGCACCGCATAATAACACGGCCACGGTGCCCCCAATAATCGGGCTCTGGAGCTGGAGCTACTGGCTCAGATGCATCGGGAGGGACTGGCTCGGGAAGCTACGCGCCGGAGCGAGAAACTTCGGCAAGGTCTGGCTCGGGAAGCTCCACTATGTTGGGGTCGCCCTCCGCCGGGTAGAGCAGCAGTGGATCTGCCGCAGCAGACTCACCGAGTGGGCGAGGTGTCTGAAACGCGATCTGCCCGCGTGCCTCGGAGTTGCGGTGTCGGAGGAGGCCCTCTCTGACGGGGAAGATAGATCTGCCGCCCGGAACCGCAATGTTCTTCACCCGGCGTACACGGCAACGTTCACCGTCACGCGAGGTCGGAGGCGTCTCATTCGCCCGCAGCACGCGGGCGCTGGCGGCGGCTGCCGCGGCGCGCGCGGCCTCCATCGCGGTCGAGGGCATCCGCGCGAGCGTCAGGATGACCGAGGACATCTTCGAGGCGGCCAGTCCCATCGCCCAGAGCGCGTCGCGGGACGTCGCGCTGGTGTTCCACGAGGCGTGCGAGACGGCGATGCTGGCGTTCCGCTTCGTGGCCGTGGCGCAGTGCCGCTACGTTGTCTACTGCCGCCGCGCGTGGCTCGGCAAGCTCCTCGGGCTTGGACGCAGGCCGACGGCCGGCGAGGCTGCTCAGAGCGGCCTCGCCCCCAGCGCGCGGGCCTGCACGGCGGGCGACGGGCCGGGGTCCTCAGCCAGGCCAGCAGAGGGGCCCGCTGCGGCCGGCAGGGGCCCAGACCTAGCAGCGACGACCCTCGGGGGCTTTCCGCCCGGCGACTTCGCTCCGAGCCTGGTCGCGGCGCCGCGGCATGGCGCTTCATTCGGGGCGCCCGCGGGCGCCGGGTCCGAGAGGCCGTGGGCGCAGGTGGCCGAGATGCAGAGGATCGCCGCGGCGGCCCTGCGCGACCTGGACGGCGGCGATCGGCAGCGCGCCGCGCGCGGTCGCGACCTTGCCGCCTGCGGCGCCGCGGTGTCAGCGCGGCTGAGCGAGGAGGGCCGCGAGCTTCAGGTGGCCGAGAGTCGCGGCGCGCGGCGCGAGGTCCGGCTTCGAGCTGGGGACCTGGCCGAGACCTTCCTACCCGCGGCCTGCAGCTGCCCCGATTTCATCAGGCGGGCGACCTGCAAGCGCATCGCAGCAGCGCGGCCCTGCGTTGCGGGCGGCAACCTCGACGAGCTCGCGGAGCCCCCGCGGCTGCAGGGCAGCAGGAAGCAGCGGCCATCGGCGGTGGGATCGGCGCGGCGGCCCGCCGTCGCACAAGCGACTCCCTCGGGCTCGCCAGCGCCGCGCGCGGGCCCAGAGAGTCGAATGCTGAGGTGGCGCGCTCGCGCGCGGAGGTGATCATCGGCAGCTGCAACTTCGCGAATGCGAACCCTAGCAACGCGGGGCGCGGGGCCGCGCTGCAGGGCCTCCCGGAGGAGGCGATGCTCGAGCAGAGGAAGTGGTTCGAGCGGCTGTTCGAGGCGGCGGTCAAGTTCACCGACGGCCTCGGCGAGACGCCGCCGCCGTTGCCGGCGCGCTGAGCTGCGCGGCGAGGCGGAGGCTGGCCGCGGCTGCGGCTTACTAGCGAGGGCGGGGAAGGACCGCCAGAGAGGCGCCCAGCGGGGCCGTCGCCGCGGGGGGCGGGCCCCCGCTGCACCCTGCCTCCCAGCGCGCGACGGCGAGGAAGTAGCTCTCGGCAACGCTCGCCAGCTCGGCCGCGCGGGTCTCGGCGGCGGCGCCCTCCTTCGAAGGATTTAGCTCGCGTGAATTTCTCGTGCCCGTAAATGGGCGAATTCGCACATCGTGCGTGCAATTTCGTTCGGCTGCAGCTCTGTGGAAGAGTCGAGCTGCAGAGGTGCCCGCGCCGCGGATTGCGCTCCTCGGACGCCGGGCGAAGTCTGCGGCTAGTACGCATGCAGCCGACTCGGCCGGCAGTCCGCGGACGCGACGAACTCGAAGCTCCCCCCGCAGTTCCTGGCCCGCTTGCTTGTCTTCCCGGCGTCCAGCGCCGGGCCCGCCACCTGGGGGAGGTCCTGGTCGGTCATCTTCGACTTCTCCACCTCGCCGTTCTTCGCCGCCAGGAAGTCAGCCCCCCGCGCGCCCCCCGCAGCCCGCAAGGATCTGCTGTCTGCGCAGCCTCGTCGATGACGCCCCCCAGGCCCCCACCCGTGGTCGCGCGCCATGGCGCCGCCGCCATCTTCTCCAAGCTCTCCTAACCACGCCCCTGCATGAACTGCATGGCCTTCGTCGACTGGGCCACTGCGCTCTCGTGCTCCAGCAGCGGGCGCTCGGCGAAACCTGACGTAGCCAGAGACGCCGCCACCCGCGCATCTTGCACTCGATCGCACCATCGCACACGCGGGGCGCGGAAGGGAGAAAGCGCATCGCGCCGCCCTCGAATGGCACCGCAGCGCGCGTCGAGTTCACGCCGGAGGGCTCCCCCATGAACCCGCGCGCCAGCCCCGGGTGGCGCGGGTAAAGCGCCTCCGTCTCCTGATGCCGCGGGCTGCTCTCTGTGCCCTCCAGCGTCAGTTCCAGCCCCGCGGCGCTGAGCAAGTGCTCGAAAAAAACTTACCATCGTTTGCTGCATCACTGCGTTGGCGTGGAACCTCCCCACGATCTGCTCCGCATGCAAGATGACGTTCGCCGTGGACAAGGTCTCCATCAAGTTCGCGCCATCTGGCGCGGTGACGACACCCGCCGCGCGCGCCGCCGCCGCGACCTGCGGCTGGCCCGCGCAGCGCCCCATCCTCTCGCCTCGCACGAACGCGCGACTGCTGCCTGGCATGCGACTGACGGCCCCCTCCGCTCCTGGAGTCGCACTTCCGCGCGCGGCGCCATGCGCCGGAGACGCTCTGTCCGAATCTGGCGCTCGAGCTCCGCGCGCCCCCTCCATGCCCTCCACGACTCTGCCCGACGCCCACTATCTCCTTGCCATCCATCGCGTTCCTCCGCCGCTCCTTCCCCATTTCCCCCAGACCGCGGCAGTTGCCTCTTGCCGCAGCGCTCCGACACGGTAGCGCCCCAGTCCTCGCTGGAGCGAGGTCGACGACTTCAGCCGACTCCGTCCTCGCATTCCGCCGACATCCAACCAATCAGCTACGGACAACACATCAAAAACGCCACTTGTCCCCGAACTGCACGGGAACATACGTCGGAACGCATGCAACGGCCACTGAGGCCATGCACA